GTGAGGAGATTCAGGAGTGTGAGGAGATTCAGGAGAGTGAGGAGGGTGAGGAGATTCAGGAGAGTGAGGAGGAGATTCAGGAGAGTGAGTAGGGTGAGAAGATTTAGGAGGAGAGTGAGAAGATTTCTGAGAGTGAGAAGCGTGAAGAAGAGAGTGAGGAGATTCAGGTGAGGAGGGTGAGGAGGAGGAGAGTGAGGAGGAAGAGTGAGGAGAGTGAAGAGGGTGAGGAGGAGAGTGTGGAGGGTGTGAGGAAGGGAAGGAGGAAACTTTGAGGCAGGGACAGGAGTTTAGCTCAAGATGAGTTAGTGAGACACAACAGCTCCCTCCTGGACAGTCCAGTGGGTTAGCGGTCAAGGCACAAGGAAGCCTGCCATCCTGGCAGTGGCAGTGAGAGCCGGGTGTGTGGTGGGCAGCGGGCACCGCGCGGCACTCACAGCTGGACGTCTAGCAGGATGCGTCTGTCTTCGTCCACGTGGATCCGCCAGCTGCAGTCCTCACCCTCCCCATATGCGTCTGGCCAGTTTGGGGACAGGATCACCCCACTGGGGCCAGATAGGTCCCCTCCACATAGCGCTGAGGGAGCAAGGAGACAGACACTTAATACACAAAGAAGAGCCAGTCAGCCAGTGTCTCAGTCAGTGTGTCAGTATGACAGTGTCTCAGTCAGTGTGTCGGTGTCTCAATGTGTCAGTATGTCTCAGTGTCTCAGTCAGTGTGTCAGTGTGACAGCGTCTCAGTCAGTGTGTCGGTGTCTCAATGTGTCAGTATGTCTCAGTGTCTCAGTCAGTGTGACAGTGTCTCAGAGTATCTCGATCAGTGTGACAGTGTCACTCAGTCAGAACGTCAGTCTGTACCCTTGCAGAGTGGCTCGGTGTCGTTCCAGTAGGGGTCACGATCATTGACACACTCGATGACGGGGGGACCCTGCTCCAGAGAGTGACCTGGGGCGCAACTAAACTGCACCACTGCCCCCACCCCATACCCTGGGTCAGAGGTCGTGAAGTTCCCATTCTGTAAGTAGGGCTCATAGCAGTGCCCACGTTCAAACGCTGAGAGAAACAGCAGAGAGAGGAGAGACAGAGATTAGGATGTGAATCTAGGAGACCTGGAGCACCTTCATTGCACACTTTGAGACTGAGACACACAGGCAGAGAGACTGATGGGGAGAGGAGAAGGCAGAGAGTGAGGAAGAACAGGACAGAGGGATCACCTTCATAGCGGATGTTGAAGCCACCGGGGGGCTGTGGGAGGTCAGAAGTGAACTGGACACGGACAGCTGGGCCCTCGCTGATCACCCCCTCAAATGGTATTGGTCCACCTCTGCCTGAGTCGAACAGGACCACTGACCCTGCGTCCAGACCGCTCCACAACACCAGCCTGAGAGGGGGAGAGAGCACTGACAGACTAACACACTGCCAGGCTGGCCTTCGGACTCACTGAGACACAACAACAGACTAACGCTCTCTCTCTATCTGTCACACACTCTCTCTATCACACAGACTGACACTCTCTATCACACAGACTGACACTCTCTCTCTGGTACAGACTGGCACACCTGTCTGTGGGCCCCAGGGCCAGCCTCTCCAGGTGCAGGTGCAGTCTCTGTCCAGCAGGGGCCTCCAGTGTCCACGAGCAGCTGATGGCAGTGCTGTCGTTCGTGCTGGTGGAGGGCGAGGGGGACAGAACCCTGCCCACTGTAGCGTTCTGCACTGCCCCTCCACAGAGCGCTGCCGGAGGGAGCGGAGCAGAGAGAGAAAACAGTTTCTAAAGGCTTGTGTTTGCACCACAGGTCCAGTCTTCACTGGAATGAACAATATCTACCCATCCTCTAGGGGACGCTGTGCACCTCACCCCGGCAGGTCGGCTCGTGGGAACTCCAGTGTGGCCGCGAGGCGTTGAGACAGGTGAGCTGGGGCTCCCCCTGCAGGTGGTATCCCAGGTGACAGCGGAACTTCGCCATGCCGCCTGCGTGCAGGTCCAGCACTGACACATCGCCATGGTGAGGACGCCGTGGCAATGCACAGCTCAGCCTGAAGACTAACACACAAACATCATCACCCATGGACAGACAAACACTTCTGCAGCATTTTAAAGGAAGAGTTAGGGCAGGAAGGCCCAGACTCACTCTGATAGTGCAGCTGGAAGGTTCCCACCCCCCCCTCGGGAAATGTTCGGAAGAAGACCGAGATGGTATTGGTTGGACTGCGGATCACCTGACCCTCCACCAGCAGTGTTTCATTGGCCAGGACAAGCAGGACCCCACCCTCATCTACGCCCCTGATTGACAGCTGCTCTCCCTCAGACAGATTTACACTTTTCACCTGCAGGGGGAAAAGAGACACATATGACCTGAATTTCCCATAGACACTTGGACAATAACATACAGTACATACTAGTTTACTGACTGACCTCATCCTCGGAAGAGCAGCTCTGACTTTTTAATCAGCTTATTTTTTACAGATACAAGAGGAGCTACAGTCACAGTACAGTAGGACAGTCCTGTTACA